AGAGAGCCACTGGAACAGATGGAGATGTCTCCGTAGGAATACAACACTGAAAAGTCCGACAAAGAGAACGAGCGCGCCTCTTGTCATTTGATAGATAGAGGCCACCACAAGAAGCAGGCCAATGTTCATGAGCGTGGTGCCGCAAATGTCGGAAACTGCTGGCAAGGCAAGGAGAAATAGCAATCGACCACGTAGCCTAGGAGAATCCGGTATCGCGTCGTCTGTCGCTGGCCCCCTATCACTCGTGTCGTTGACGAGGGCTGTCCTCGCCTCATCGGCGTGGGTATCATCAGTGCTAACCGCCTCGTACCCGTCGCCTTGAGGCGTCAAACGAGAGACGTAACGGCGCCACAGAGCCATGATTCCAACCACCAACCAGCACCCCATCTCGCCGACGAACATTTGAGCCGTCTGGAGGACAGGTTGGTTGAAGTAAGCGCGGCGCGAGACGTCGGGATGGTCGCAGTTTCGGACGCATTGCATGTCCTGACGGCGCAAGGAGTCAGTAAGAAGCAATCACTGCAGGACGAGGGGAAATCAAGAAAGCGCTGACCTGATACTTTGTAAGGATAGTGTTACAGCAACCAGTCAGAAGCATCATGCCCACGAGGAACGGTATCATAGACCGTGCCGCCATGGTGATGTACGGCTGAGTTTGCCCCGACTGTGGTGCCTTAGATTCAATATTTTGAACCCAGTTGTTTTGGTAGTTTCGGCTTCGGACAGTTTCAACAGGCGCTGTCGTCCTTGTTGAGCGAGTAGAAATGGTTGGATCTGGGCCGATTGCGGGAGGGGAACAGTTGATGTCCAGGCACGCCTCACGGTGACATCGGTACCTGTATCTCGGGCTTATCACGTTGTGGAGTATCAGTAGGCTTCTTCGTCCAGGCAGTCCCATTATTATGTTGTTGACGGCCAATTATAGGCTCCAATAGCAACCACATGATGAGTACCGTGTACCTAGGTAGTAGCCCGTGCCCACTTCCACTGTGGGGTCACCAGCCCAACCCCGAGGCATGGGTTGAAAGGTCCACATGAGCTGCCTAAGGTACCTTGCCAAGGCTGGGTACATGTAAGTCCCTATGTGGCTAACCCAGCAAGCGGTTTGCAAAAAAAATGGCCCATATTAAATCCCTCACCTTACAACAACCTACGAAATAGCCGAACAACCCCATCACCAGACGCCTACGAAATCCAGGATCCTAGGGGCTATTGAATATATAGAACGGTATAAGATTCCCTATTTTAAAACACGTCTCTTTAAATTAAATGGAGTTCCAGCTTATACTAGAAATCGGATCCTTAAAGAATACCACGACCGACGCCTCTATAACGACCCCCAGAGACTAGATACCCGTGGCCGCCTAAGATCCCTTACGCCTAGGGACCTAGAGCTTATGGAGTAGTTAATCTGGAAGGCTGGATTTGAGGCCCGTACCCTCAGTTAGCAGACCCTAGCCCACGAGGCTGGCGTCCATATTACTTGCTACTAGCAGACTATCCAGAGATCCCTTAAGACCCTTGGGTATAGGAAGTGTATCGCTTGCGATAAGTAATAGGTATCTCCAGCAGTCGCTAAATAGCGCCTCTAAGCTATAGAGAAAGCCCTAGCTCTTCGCCCTACTCTAGAGGACTGGAGAGATATCCGTTTCAGCGACGAGGTTCATTTCAGCCTTAGGCTAGAGGGTAAGGCTCGGATACTCCGGAAGCCAGGCGAGCGCTATTGCCCTAACTATATCTAAGAGCGCGCAGAGCCTAAGCCAAAGCATAAGAAGAGACTCCATGCCTGGGCAGCTATTAGGTACGATTTCGTATCTGACCTAGTCTTCTACGAGGTCCCCGGGAATAGCAATGGGAAGATGAGCCAGCAGGTCTATCGGGACCAGATTCTAGAGGCCCAGGTTAAGCCCTAGCTCTAAGCAGGCCACTAGTTTATCTTAGAGGAAGATAGAGACTCTGGCTATAGGCCTAGCAGAGGGCTTAATATCTATAGGACCTGGAAGGAAGAGCAGGGCCTACGATATTACTTTAATACGCCAGCGTCACTAGATCTCTCGCCTATAGAGAACGCCTAGAGGATCCCTAAGCAGAACATCAGGAAGCACGCTATATAGGATACAGAAGACCTTAAGGCTTTAGCTATAGAGGCCTAGGTAGAGCTTCAAGCCCATCCAGAGCGTGTTAATGGGTGGATTGATTCAATGCCCCAACGGATGAAGGATGTGGTGGAAATGGGGGGGCGGATAACTGGGTGGTAATAGTGAGGAATTTAATATGGGCCATTTTTTTTGCAAACCGCTTGCCCAGTACCATGTAGTACCTCGCTAAGGTACCTGGAGGATGATTCAGCGGATGGATCACAGAGGTAGAAAGGTGGCATGCGGATTTCTTGTCCCCGACGCTCCAAAACCATTCAGGTTGGTTAAGAACAGGTGAAAACTCGCTCGTATTCATGTAGTATGTAGACGCCACATCGCTGTGGTCTAAGCGCTGCTAAGTTGAGCGGCCTCTTTATCCTCGGCCTCCCTTGCTTTTCTTTTCTTCCTCTTCTCCTTTGGCTTCTTGTCCTTGATGTTGTTATAGTGGATCACGCCAAGCTCCTTGTCTCTCGCAAGTCGTTCTGCATCCTTGTCGCTAACTGGGACACCTTCAATCCTCTTCACTCTCTTGCCTTCGTGGAACATCATCAGCCCACCAGTAGCGGCAGCACCACAAGCTAGAGCAACGAGTAGTCCGACGCCCCAAGCTGGTCTGTTGTAACGATTCATGCCCCACATGAGGCCGGATAGTCCGCATTGGAGAAACGTATTGCTGACCATGAACCATATCACAAAGTCCATCTTCCATACCGGAGTAGGCCCGGCGCGCACACCTGTCAAAGGCGCATCTGGAATCTTGCTCTCCGGCGACGGAACGTTGGCGAGTGGTCGGTCTTCGAAGAGGTCGCCGGTGCTTTGGGGCCCCACCCTTGGAGGAAGTCGATCTGAGCCCTGGAGGCGAAACCAGCTGCGATGAATACCAGCCAAGTGGCGCAGTGCTTCCTCTTCGGAGCCAAGACGGTACCTCAGTAGATAGAACAGGTCGCGAAATCTCCACGGGGCAAGACCGAAGCCCGTGACGCAAAAAAGAGCATTGACAATCTGCGAATCCCACTCAATCCACTTGCGTCGTGGTGAGTCAATATGCTCACATGAGGGATGGCACATGGCTGGAGCTGCGTTGCAGAGTAGGAGGAAAAGCTTGCCCCCCCATGCTACCACTAGAAGCCCATATAGAACGACGAAGAAGCCAAGCGGAGTACATGCGTAGTTCCAAAAAGCAATGGCGCCAAGTTGTGTCGACTCTTTGAGGGAGTGTCGTGGAGGGAAGTGATACCCATTCTCATACGGCTCCGATAGAGATGGCTCGGTGGTATTAGTGGCCGCAGAAGTGGCTCCCCGGGATAAGGGTTCAGCGTGGGTCATGATTTCCTGCCTTGCCCTGGCAGCAGACGCCGAAGAAGAGGCACTTGGATTCTTATCATCGCTGGCTGTGTTTGGTAGGCTCGGTGCAGGCATGGTGGCATTTCTCGCTGTCATGCAGTGCGTTGTGCTCTGATTAATGGACGGGTAACTCGTGTAGTGCGGATGGATATCGATTTCGGAGCTGGAAAAATGGTAGGAGAGTGCGTAGCACGGGTCGTCCGAATTCTCCTCGACTGCTGTTTGATGGCGTTACGATAGTTGCTAATATATGACAGAGAGGACAGAGAGGAGGGGGGCGGGATTGACTTCGGACCCGGGCTGTGGAAGTATGGTAAAGATAATGCGCTGGTATTCGGCGAAGGAATGGTTTTCAATGGGCTTTTTGATTGTTGAACGCGTTCGAGGAAAAGTGGGATGTCACGGAAGTATTATGGAAACAGTCTGGAGGCGAACAAGCAGGTTATCATGAGAGACACGCCTATCGATGATATGACGGGTGATGAGGTAGCTCTTGGCAGTGAGCTGGGGTGTCATCCAATCAGGCTTAATCTTCGTGAGGTGCTGCAGCAAACAGCCGTCATCGTTGTCGTCACCAACGAAACAGTGAGCGCTCAATCTTCACAGCGATCCAGTTCCCATCGCACCGAAGTTCCCGTTCAGCGTCTGAGATCGGGACCTATCGTTGCTACCTAGCCGGGTAAAGGAGGAACAAAAAAAGTCATACTCCTTAGAGGTGAGCTCACTCTGAACCGTTCTACTATACTGTACATCAGCTCAAAACTGATAAAAGTATATCTGCCAACAAAGGTGTCACCAAATATCTAGTATGTGGAATTCCAGAGCATTTGATCTAAATACGATGCGTTGAGAGGGTTCCGAAGTTAGGGGTCTTTTCTGATGATACCTGTACGGTATTTAGGGATGGGGAGCGCGGCTATC